TGGATATGTAATTACTTTTCGCCCTCGGCTTCTCCGAATTACAGATGCATATTTTTTTATAATTACAAGTGCGTCGTTCCGCGGCAGCCCATAAAAAGTTGCGACTGGCTTTTGGCCAAAGTTTGATGCTCCGCTAATGATGTACGTGAACACGCATCAAATGGCCAACAAAATGCCGTTAAGCATGAAATCATAATTAATCCATTGACCTTTACCACAGGGGCGCAGCGCAATGAAAGCATGAGAAGCCTGCACATGTGCTCGTGCTAGTGTTGAGTAATTATGAGCTGTGTGTGAATTATGGCCATTGGGGCATTATTTTGGGCTTTTAAATGCATAAAGTTGTGTTAGAATCTAAATAATTAATGAAGTTTTTCCAGATTGATCGACTGACTGACGGGTGATCAACGCATAGGAAAACTCGACCCTCAAGTGGAAGAAAAATGGGTCGAAAGATTGTGTGTAAACTGTCTGGGCGTCGAAATAATAAGTGAGAAGTCGCCGGTTCATATGTCTCAGTAATTTTCCATTTTCTATTTGTTTATTTATTTTGTTATTATTCACAGAGAAAACAGCAATGTAAATATGTGAAATTAAAGCAGACTTGTATCTGCCTGAAGTTATCATCTAGTATAATTATATAAATCTAGGGCTTTGTTTGGGTTTCATTCTTTAAATACCTTCGGTAGCTTTTTAGCTTCTTGCTCACTTCCCTTAACATTGCCTTTCTTTGCCTCTACAGCATATCTGCATATCATTAATTGTAGGAAATTTATTAAATTAAAAAATTGTTTAACTTCTTAAGAGATTTAATGGACGACCCAAAAACGGCTTTTTCTTTCCATTATCATTTGTTCTCATTTCAAATAAGCTTAACATTAATTTTGTCTGCAAAAACTTCACCCAGCCGCTGTTTGGCCAGTAAAGGCCATTGGGTATCAGAGTAAAAGGTCATAGGACTGGGTCAAAACAGCATACGGACCTGTCTGCACCTGTGCCTGAGAAGGAGAGGGGTCTCAATGTCTGCTGTAAAAGAGCAACACATATAAATTTTACATTGCATATGTTAACGCGTTGAACAGTGGGCAAACTGTTTAAAATGTGTGCTAAAAAAAGGTGTTACAGTGTTTTAATGTACAGATATATGATTCCCATTGGAGTCCTGCAGTGGCCAACTCATTTGCATGAAACTTGAAAACTCAATCAATTCACCTGTCAGAATCGAGTTTCCGATTATCGGGCTGAGCAACAAACAAAGCTCGAGCTGCTCGAGTAGGCAACATGTTCGAGGCTCCACGAGTTGTGATATTGAGAAACGATTAGTTCGAACACAAAAAAAATAATTGAGTTTGGAGCAAGTTCAATTAGCTCGATTGTTCGAAGTGATCGACTCAATTTTTTTGGTCAGCAATTCTAGCAGAGATTAAATGCTGATTTGCCAAGTGATCCTGTATTAAAAACGCGTTTCGTCTGAGCTTTTATGCGCATGTCTATATTATAATTGGATTCCTTCAAAGTTAGCCTACTGTTTGAGGGCAACTCTTGCCCCCTGATGAGCCAGTTGAGGGACAGAAGAGAAATTCAAATTTACATATACACGCAATCAATGCGGGCTGTGTGAGTGTGTGTGCGTGTGAGCGATTCTGTGACTCATTTGGGAGCATTACTATTCGGATTGCGTGCAGATCTGGCAAAGAGTGGCTGGCAGTGGGCTGGGAGGGGTAAGCGCTTGTTCATTTTGGTAACAGGCTTAAATAATGAACCTCTGCAAATGCTGTGGCAACTGCTACGACTTAAACAAAAAACTAAACGCGCAGTTGGAAGAGGTCCTTAGAAGGGAAGGGGGTTGGGTTTGAAGTAGCAGCTGAGCCACTTACCATGCCGACGGGCAATTCGAGTGGATGGCCACAAACTCAACAAAAACAATTTAAGTGTTATTGCACGTTTCGCTAACATGTCCTGGCAGCGCCCACACAGTGTCCCGGCATCCTGGCTGCTCGGCACTCGCACACCGCTGCGTATTTGTTTTTGTTGGCCAAGCAATTGCGGCTGAAGGGCGTGGAGCCTGCCGTTTGCTGACTGTCGCCATTTTGTCGCCAAGTGCAGTAAGTGTTGAGATCACACTTCATGCGAGGTCCTTGCGAAATAAGATAAACACACACACAACACACACTCCGATATTCCCTGCTGTGGCCTGTAAATTAATCGGCTTAGAAGCCAAAATAAACAAAGCCTTTCACACAGACGAGTAGTTCGGTTTTGGCCAGATTGTAATACTTTCCGATTTAACTGGGCCAAAAACTGGCTTTGACCAGTGCGCAGTGAATAAGCCTAGAAGCGGCTTATTGGCTCTAAGTTGTTTTAATTGAAAACTCACACAACGCATCCTTAAGATACTTTCCACAAACAAAAATTGGCATACAATTGGCAAAGAGCTGCCTGAGTAATGGCTGGGAGCGTTGGAGTAGCTTTTAAATTTACTATTTCGTTTCGTTTTCAATTTGCATTTTTACAGCATTTCACATTTGAGGCATGTTTTTTTTTATTTTTTTTGGTTGTGTTTTTGTGGTTACAGGTGCCCTTTTACCTTTTTACTTTTTTAACTGGCTGCCGAGCCGCAACCTTATCGCCACGCCCCAATCTCACGCATTCGCATTCACATTCGACCAATTCGTGGCCAAATTTATGCGGTTTTTGTGCTATTTTTTGTCCGCTTTTGGAAAACTGAAAACTTGAAAAATGATAGGAGGGAAAAGGAAGAGGAACGGGAGCGGCAGGTAGAAATTGTACCTTTATCAAGGCCTGACAAGAACGTGAAATGAAATAATTTAAAAATGCAAATTCTTTGGCTATCGGCGTGTTGAAATCTAACCAAAAACCCAAGACTAGACGACTGATTTTTGGCCCAGTTGCGAGTTGTGCGCTCTGCCAACCTTTCTGCGGGTCTAAATGTGGTGTGGATAAATGTGCTTTGACCTTTTCCGGGCAATATGCTGCGTGTTGGCCAAGATTTGGGTATTTTTAATTTAATCAAATTATTTTGAAGCAACAAAGAGTTTTAAATAACACAGTTAATAAATATTTTATGGGGCATAACAAAATAGGAAAAATTATATTTGATAATAAATAAAAAGAATGTTAACTCAAAAGAAAACTGAATCAAGTACATTATAAAAGAAATGACAAATTGAATCGAAAGTTGAGCTCATTCAAGGCTTTCAAATTAATCGTTTTGTAATACAAAACTCAAACAAAACCAAAACCATCGAAAAAGTTGGGAAAAAAAAACAAAAATCGCATGTAACTTGTTCCAAACAGTTTTGGATTCAACGCCAGCTCAATTTGTGTGGGAGCTGGCAAAACTTTCCACATGAATGACTTCGAGTTCTGAGTTCACGCCCTCATCATTTTCTCCATTTTTTTTCTGCTGCCTATTGACCCCGAGGCGACAAGTCCTTTTGAGGGTCGTGACAGCAACTTTTGCCAGCGAAAAGTTGAGATGTATGGCAAGCTAATCACTGGCAAAATTGTTACACACACTCGCACCCACTCTACTCAGTTTGGCAAAGAAAAATGAAAATGTGTGGGAAAATTTACTGTCCGAAGTGATTAGCCTGTAATCTTTTAATATACTTTTAGTTAGTTTTGTTTGCCTCTTATTGCTCTACAATTTTTGACTATTTTATTTTATTTCAAGTTTAATCCGAACTGCATAAGTATGCATGTGCCAAAATTTATTAAATTGGACTAATTCGTTTATTTGCAAACCAAATGCCAAATTGAAACTAAAATCCCAAAATCAATTTGCTTTCAAACGTTTTTGTTTATTTATACATATAAATATAAATATATTAATGCTTTTAATAGCCACTATTGGCCATTGTTTGCCTTTGTGTGTGTCCTGTTGACGTCACAAGTGTGTTAACATTATTTAACACAGCAAAAATGTTAATAATTATAAACGACTCGCAACTTTTTGCTCAACACACAAAAACTCGTGTATTTTAAAAGACCGAATCCGGCGAAAGGAAAAACTCAAAAGGCAAAAACTTTTCAATGGTTCGCTCCTCGGCACTGCAACCCCCCTGCTGCCTGCCCCAAGTGAAAGCCGCAGCAGCGACAGAAAGCAGCTAACAAATTTTTTTTTATGATTTTAATTAGCATAAAAGCGTAATTAAAAATTAACTGAAACAAAATATATGCATAACAAGCAAGTGAGAGCCTTACCTGGGCCAACAGTTACTCATAAAGTTGTGCACACACACACACATGTTTATGTGACACGAGTAAAGGCCTTAAAATTATTTGAATTTTCTTTGCGAAGGCAGCTTTATTACACTTTGATATGCCCCCCAGATATTTCAATTTGTCTGCAGTGCCAGAAAAACAGCTTACTTTTATTTATTTACTTAGGATTTGGGGCATATTTTTGATTATTGATTCTAGAATAATTTGCGCTGTTTCGTAATGAAAAAAAAATTAAATAGATTTTTTTTTATGCAGTAAATAAGCCGAAAACAGCAGCCAAAAAGGTTTTTTTATTTATATAATAATTTCAAAGAGCTTTAAAAGCTACTTTTAAGTACAAGCATTCTTTAAGGCAGCTTTTATTAAGCATTTCCTTAAGATTTAGGTTTGCTGCTTTTCAAGATTTCTTTGATATTAACAATTAATTTATTAACAGCTAAAATAGCAGCAAAAATGTTCTTTATTTAGTTTAAAGTAAATAATTACAATGAGCTTTAAAGCCACAAGCAAGCTTTAAGGCAGCTTTATTGTTATGCTCGTTTTAAACTAAGCAAAAGCTCAGCTCACAAATGCCACACTTGCTCCAACCAGTTGTATATAGGCATAGAGTGCAGTTTTTGATGATCTTTTTAACGTAATCATTGGTTTTAAGTTTGTGTCTTTAACTGAAAATCGCTCTATCAATGTCCTAATCACAGCTGCAACAGCATATTTAAGTGGAGTACATTTCCGTGTGTCCTGTTTACCCACAGACCTTGTCACCTGCAGCTCAGCCTACGACCAGGTGGTTGTCACAGAGCCGCAGCTAATGACACAGCCGAGATCCACTTTGCCAGATAGCCAACTGACAACACAAAACGATCTAATTACGACAGCCCGAAACTCAACAACATTACTGACAACGAAAAAGCCAGCCGCTGCAGCAGCAGCGACAACAACAGCAACAACAGCGAGAGGCTATTGGCGCACGACCCTGGGCATGTCATCAACAGCGCCAACGATAACAAGGACTGCGACAAGGAGGCTGGCAGGAGGTGCCGCAGCGGCAACTAAGTCCGCACAAATTGGTCTAACTACGCAGCCCGCAACGGCGGCTAAAACACAAACAACAATCGCTGCAATAACAACAACAGCAGCAACAACAATGGCAACAACGGCAACGGCGATGGCAACGCTGTTCATATCAACAATTTATCCGACATCAACAACAGAGCCCGCGACGGTTGTCCCAACGCCGACGACGAGGATGAGGACGAGGACGACGCTGACGGAAACGGATGCCCGCAACTCCATTGAAACGGCAACGTCACGGCCATCGGTTGAAGCGGGGCAGGAGTTGCAGGAGTTGCAAGAGGAAGGGCAGGGGAAGGAGGAGGATCTGGAGTTGGGGGAAAATGCGGTGTTGCAGCTTCCTCATCCGGCCAACACTGATTCACTGACTAAGGGCTTCTCCATACCCACATTTCTGCCGCCGTTTCCCGTGTTCGCGGCCGCAGATTTGCCTGCGTACCGAGCTGCTGCTGCTGCAGCTGAGGCAGCCGCTGCCGCTGCCGCCGCAGCAGCAGCATCAACTCAAGCGACGGAGACTACTGTGACATTGTCACCGGAGCAGCAGCGACAACAAATGTTTAATGAGCAGCACTCGTACTTGGCCTCCCACAATGGGGAACTGCTGCCGGGGCAGCAGCCGCGCAAAAATCTGACAATGCCTGTGCTAAACATCACGGCTCAGATGGGAAATCACGCGTATATGCCATGTCAGGTGAGTACTGTTGACACCCAAGCACTACACCAGACCAAAATCCCAGACCTTAACTTAATCCCAAGCCCAAGCAGACGCATTCATTTCCATGTACGTATTGCAAGAGAGCTGACTGATGTGTGTCATGTAATGTGTGTACTTGCGTGTGTGTGTGTTCACTTAAGTAAGTGTAGACCTTAACATATGTGGTGTGCCTGAGATGTGTGTAGAGATAGCTCAAGGCTACATTATTAAATTCTTTAGTTTATAAAATTTTTTGTATTTTCCATAATTCAAGCACCAACTCCTGATACCCTAATTCGTTTTATACAATATGTCTTTTATCCAAATCCTAATTTTCAGCATTCATTGCTCACCAAAACTCATCCATACTCTAAAGTATGAGATATCTTTATCATGTCCCAAAATACACTTTCTCATATTTTCTAAGAATAGAAAAATAAATAAAATTAATTTCCTCACAATATTTTATCCATAGGCATTTGATTGCTTGCAAATTTCTGCCCCTCGCTTCATAAAACATGTCTTAAATCCACCAGTTAGTTTTCAGCATTCCCATTTATTCCTATTAGTTTCAAAAAAACAGATTTTATCTACAAATCTTTAATCATTTTGAAAATTGTTTTGCTGTCAAAAAAGTATTCTTATTTACAGATATGATTTGGGATAGTTTCTAATTATAAAAACAAATGAATTTTTGCATTCCCATTGTTTTGTCCATATTTTGCACCCAAAAAACATATTTGTTATCCACATGATCATTTTCCGCATTCTTAGACTCATCTTCCTCCCAAAAATGCATTCACAGTCTGAGATATTATTTGGAATGTCTAAAAGGCAAATCAAGACCATGTTTTTACTCTTAATTTAAATAGATGTGAGTATAAATAAATAATGTTGGTTCCCAATATTTCATCTCTTAGCATTTGAATTCCCACAAATTCGTCTAATTCCATTCATTAGACAGTTGCTAATATTCCAGACACTAACTATGTCCTGCCCTCTAAAATAAATGCATTTTCCTGTCCTGCCCAATCACCATTTGCCTCAGGAAGTTCAACTTAATCATGTCTGGCTCAATGTCCAACTTGAGATGTTATAATAGCCTTTTGAACTCTGTTCAGATATACCTATCTGTTTGGTTGGCTATTTTGCTTTGGTTTTCCGTTTCGCTTTTCCGCTTTCCGGGGGCAGTACGCAGCTCGTTTACCTAACGCCTTCGGCTGTCTGGCGGTGTCTGCTGTCTGGGCAAAAACTTTTCGCACAGATCAGCATAATTTCATTTGCATATCAACAAATTTATTTTGTTTACGTTTATTTTTATGACGTAAACAAGGCAAACAACCTCTCCACGCGTTCCATGTGCCGTATACGTTTCTGCAATTTAGTTTTTCTTTTTTTTTACAACGAGCTCTCTTTTCGGCTCTTTTAAAGAGGCTCACAGACAGGCATCTCCACTCATGTACATGTAAATGTGAGGCCTCTTATAATAGTTTTGTTGTTGTTCTTGCTGCTGCTTTTTGGTATATTTTGTACATTATTGTACACTGTGCAATTCGTATATATGCAAATTAGGATGCCACTGTCCCTGTCTCTGCTATGGGTTCTATTTCCACCTTTTACTCTGTGTGTTGTGTTTTTGCTTACCATATGTAAATACTTCATAGTTGTATCTCAGGTCTGGCAAATAGGAATTCTGTGACAACTAGAAACCTTGCCCGCTTGACTTTCTCTTTATGTGCAGCTCTTTTTTGCAGCTATCGAAGATTGTCCAGCATCAATCAACATGAGCTACTTCGTTTGAGGAAAGAAATTTTACTTATGTTAAAGAATATTAAACAAAAAACGGCATCTTTGATGTCATGTTGCATATACATTCTTGATCAGCCATATCCATCTGTCGGTCCATCCATCTATCTGCCTGTCTCTACGTCCGTATACAAGCATCGGTAACTTCCAGCGTTTCCATGAAATCGATAAAAATCAATAATGAAATCCAGTTTTTGAGCATTTCTAATAGACGCTAAAACACCAAATTTGGTATGAAGATTTTTGAATAGCTCACATGGTAGGAATATTTGACTTTTGCATTTTTTCCCCGTTCCATCCAAAATGTTCAAGCTACAGTTTTGGCCTACGGTGTTTGCACACAGTTAGCCTAGAGGAAAAGACATGTAGGTTCTCATTGTGCCGTTGAAGATTGGATACTTTGGCATATTCTGCCCGTTAAGATCCCTTGAATTAGATTTAGAGGCACATTTCATCTATTAAATATTTTATTTAATACTTAATCAGGACGTCTTACATTTATATCTATATTTTACAGATCCATCGGCTGTCGGAGAAGCCTGTCTCTTGGGTGCGATTGCGCGATGGTCACATAATCAGCGTGGACGAGAGCACATTCATAGCCGATGAACGTTTCCAGTCGATATTCCAGGAGGAGAATGATTACACCTGGTCGCTGCAGATCAAGTACGTGGACGTCAGCGATGCCGGCTGGTACGAGTGCCAAATGGCCACCGAGCCCAAACTGAGCGCCAAGGTGCATCTGGAAGTAGTCAGTGAGTGTCAGTTATTTATATTTATTCTTTCAACTGTAAAGTTTTCTTTTATTAACCCTCTCCCTTCCCATGCAGCGCCCAAGACTGAGCTAATTGGCGATCAGAGCCGCTTCGTCAAGGCCGGCAGCAAGGTGGCGCTTCATTGCATTGTGCGCGGCACCCTGGACCCGCCGAGGTATATCATCTGGTTCCGTGGGCAGAAGAAGATAAGCGAGAGCGATGAGCGCACCGGCTGGTATACGCAAATAGATCGCAATATATTTGGCACAGTGGGCGATAATCAAAATACGGTAGGCGAATTAACACTATGCAGCATAGTTAGGCAACTGCATGTGGTTCCAGCCGTTGGGATCGGCTTATGAACCTGGTTATCCACATCTTTGAACCCTGGCCTTTGTTCGAGCTTTGGTTTGTCAATTATTTTTTATGAAATTATTTAAATTTTAGTTACGGTAGCCTGTTGTAAATCTTGTTTGTACTTCATCCAAATTTGTTAGCTACTAATCTTGGATAGATAATTATATGCATTTTCAGGCTTATAAGTTTTTTATTTTGCACTGAGTTTCGTTTTGTCGGTTTTTGTTTCATATTAAAAACTTAATTAATGCTCTGGGTTCAAGCCAGTGCGGTTCAATTTCATTGCACAGTGCTCTTATTGACAATTCAGAAGTTTTAGTTTTGTTAAGTCGAGTGTTGAAATAACAAAGACTGCATTAATTACAGATCGGCTCATTAATTATACCATTTGTGCGCAAAGAGGACTCCGGGAACTATACGTGCCAGCCATCGAACAGTGTCTCCGTCTCCGTTGACCTGCACGTCCTCAGCGGTGAGTCCTTGACAGATACCCACACAAACACACATATATATATATGATATGTATATGTATGTATGTATATTTATATAGTAGTAGTGGCTCTTGTGACGTGGGCGATTGCGAGAGCGTGTGAATTATTTTATCAGCCAGTTAAATGATTCATATTAATTGCAACTGTCGTCACACACTTACACACACGCACACACACACGCACATTCCTTCTTGCCAACAGGTGAATACTCCGCTTCGGCTATCATGTCCGGCGCAGCACAGCGACAGCAGCGCAGCACGATTCTGCCGCTGGCGCTGCTGCTCCCGATGCTGCCGCTGCTGCTGGTGCTGCTGTCAGGGGTGCGGGAAGCGCGGGGATTGCGTTGGCTGCTGCCCAAGACGTGACTTGTGACGTGACTCGCTTATTGAGCGGCCAGCCCGGACTTCAATTATTTGTAAGCTTTTGCACAATGTGCAGTTATATAATTTGGGTTAGAGATTAATTAAAGATGTCATTGTAAATAGCAGAGGCCCAAGGCGAGCGGGCGAGGCGGCGAAGAGAAGGTGCAACTTTCTGTAATTAAGTTAAATGTTGGCGCATACCCGCATACGCTGATGTATGTGTGTGCGCTTGTGTGTGCTGTACATTTAAAAGATATAAGCACAAAATTTAAAACATAATACTCGTAATATTATTAATTGCTAGACTAAGACAAATCAAATTCTGAAGATAAATCAAAGAGATGTTGCCATTTACAGTTGTGAAACAGATCAATAATTAGATTATTGCAAATCTGCTAAACTTAAATCTGAATAATACACGAATAAACCATTATTAATTCATGTGAACTGACAGCAGGCGTATTTTATATCGACTCATACGCCTGCCTTTCCAAGGGTATTTATTATTATTTTTTTTAGCCACCTTCAAAAGCCCTCATAAATCGGATTGCAAACATGAAGCGCTTTGAAATTGATACTTGACTGCAATCCAAAAACCAATTAGCGATGAAAAATACACTAAAACCAGGTAACAATCATCTATAAATATTTAAAAAAATGAAGTATGACTACAAAACGGCAAACGGATACCTTTTTATACCCTGCAACCATCGGAAGTGTGTAAAAAGGGTATTATCGCTTTGTGCAGGCAGTAGAAAGTATCTCCGATCACCCTAAAATAGGAAAAACTCACTTTAAAAGTAATCATGAATATTACTAATGCTGCTCGGTGCAGGGTACCCCCAAGTCGGATACTACGTACAAGAGCGCTCATTTTTTATGCTATTTATATTTTATTTTTATTATCTACCTTGTTTAAAATTATCACGAGTATATTTATTTACTCGCGCTAGGGCTAGCTTATATTTGAAGAGTTTTTGAGGGTAGCTTAAAAAAGCATTGTAAATCTCTTCCTTTTGAAGTTCGGCTGTACAGAAATTGATGCTTAGAGCTTTCCATTTCCGTATTGATATTTTCTCTATAATCCAATCTATTCAAAATGAATATGATAAATGGATACTAACGACAATGGAGGCCAGCAATTGGCTATATTCGGCGTAGGCACAAAAGCAGCTCGGTGTCCTTTTCTCAAAGGATGCGCATAAATAATTTAATATTTTATGGTAATATTTTTGGGTCTCAGGAATTCAAAACCAGCGCTGAAAAGCACCAAAAAAAAATGGGTCAGCAACAGCAGCACAAACCAAATGGCCAAAAGTGTGGAGAGCTCATAAAAAGAATGAAAGACAGAGAAAAGGATCCCGTAACCATAAAATGACGAATTCCAGTCGGCGACAAAATGGAGCCATAAAGCCTTTAAGGTAGACGCTCTATTTTATTGCAGCGGAAATCACATCGCAGTTAGCCACAAGGCGAGAGAGGGAAGGAAAATGTGAAACAGCACGTAAAATTTGTCGAGCTGAGAGTTGGGCAGAGCTTGGGTAATATCCACAGCAATGGAAGGGGGAAAAAAAAGATGAAGACAAACTAGAAGGCAGTAAATATTTTTCACGTTACACCCAAAGCTGATGACTGAGTGGCTGACAGCAGGCAGCTAGAGGATAGAGCAAGCGGGTAAGTAGAGTTCGGGCAAAGAAACCATTAAGCCCTTAAAAGCCAAGCAAGATGAAACAGTTAAATGCGTTACAACTTGAAGTAGACACAAGCAAAGTACATGTTCAAGTGCATGTTAAGTAGAGCAGTTGCTTGTAAGATTTAACACTTATTTCCGTAGTAAACTGATATCTCAGTTATTTTAATTACAATTATTTCTGTTTTCAGTGAGTAAAGGCGGGATTGAATTTGTATGTGCAATTGCTGCCTTTTGCCTCGCAACCAAATTACACGAATAAATTTAGCAGAGCACAACACCAGATACTTTGCAGGGACACTTTAAGTGACTGCCAAGGAATCTCATAAAATATGATACAACTTTTTTTCTGGTGTGCTGTTGTTTGTTTTGTTTTGTAAACTTTTTTTGTTCTTCGTGTTTTGTGCTGCTCGGTTGCTCTTTTGCGCTGTTGTTGTTCATCTTGAGAAACAATTTTTTAATATTTGGATAAGAAACAAAAAAAATAGCTGGGCACATGCCCCGCGTGACTTGCAGCTTACAACGTTGCTGGGCAGCAGGGAAAAAAACTGAATGAAAAAGAAAAAAACGCTGAAGAAAATGAAAAATAATGACTTAAAAATACATAGGAAGCGAAGGCAAGTGCACAAAATGACATCCTGCACTGACTGGCCCGGTCATCGTGCACCATTTCGTGTTGCCATTCAGTAGCCATGGCGTCCTGCCACCCAACCAGGCACCCCCTTAGGCTGCCGCCCATTTAATTGTGTTAACATCGAGGCTAACTCAGGCATTGCCCAGCCGGGCAGCTGCCCGCTTTCAGCTGCTGTGTATGCGTGTTTTTTGAATGCCTGCCGTTTGTGGGTACATCAGACTAAATGTCCCCGTTCCCTCAGACGCCTGCCGTTGGTTATCATGCACTCACTTTGGCTTTTTGCTCCGATCGAGCGCCTTTTTACATAATTTCTGCCTCCGAGTCTGGAAGCTGGCCTTTTCCCTGCTTTACGCCTTCCGCTCTTTGACGTCCTGTGTCGGCCCACGCCCATGCCCGCCACCACTTGGTCTTGGGGCAGTTTTCCTGAAAGGCATTTAAGTTGGGTAAAGTATTTCTGGTTTAACTTTTCCGCATGCAAGCAGCTTCCCATTCTCAAGTTGCGCTTGCTTTGTTGGCTTTCAGTGGGTGCGGAGTGTTTTGTGTCGACTGCGGGGCTTAGTTGTGTTTGCGGTTTCGCATTTCGGCAAACAGTAAATAAGCGTGTACAAGCAAAAAGACCTAAACGTCCAAAGTAAATAAATAAGCGGCATTTCTGCTTTTGGCCAACGCTGTTGAATGCTGAATGCCGAATGCTGGCGTAAACTCTCCAAAACCAAAATAAAACTTTTGGTAATTGAATAACAAAACTAAACACAACAAAGCAAATAACTTGCCATCAGTCCAAATAAATGTCGCAAGTAAATAAATTAATATTGACTCTGCTGTAACCAAAATAAACTAATTTTTGCTGTCGATCCCGTCTTTTGTTTCCCATACTGTCCCGTGCGCTAAGATACGACCAGACTCATTTTAAGTTTTGAAAATAATTTTAATTTCGAATAACTCGGCTAAATACAATCTGTTTTTCGGGATATAACATGCCTTCCGCGACTCGTACGGACGGAAACTGTCGTTTGTTGTTCAAATATTTCCATTCTGAAAGATAGATCAAATTTGACAAAAATGGGCTTGGCTAAGGACCTTTACGATTTACGATTCGAATTCTGCGACCTGTATTCATTTACTCGAGTTAGGGCCATTTAAATATTTTCTAAATATTTACTTGTTCTCTTTTTTAAGCATGTTTTATTTTTTAGATGTATTTTTTATCCTTTCAGGTTCAAGATTTTCAAAATCTTCATACTCCAATCGGCTATATGGAGGCATTCTTCCTAAGATCAGATTTTATTTGCCCTAGATATAGTGCTTAAAAACTTAAATTAAGTAGGAAATAAATTAAATTAGCAACAATTCTAAGCTATACTCATATATGTTTATTTTGTAAGAGCAATAAAAAAAAAAAGTACAGTAAGTAACCCAAATAAATGTAAATATAAAAGGAGAAATAAAAAAATATATAAATTTAAAAACCAAACTCCTGTCTTTCTGGGATGTTTCAAGGGATATTTCGCTGAAATCCTAGAAATTAAAATTCTAAACTTAACGGTCTCATAATTTCACTGGGCTGGGTCGTAAGATTTTACCATAAGTTCAGCTAAAATACAAGGCGAACAGAAATGCACAGAAGGTCGACAAAATATCAGCGGAGAAAAAAATGTGTTGCATACACTCAAGGGGCACCGTTGGCATCCGTTGCCTGGCCACATTTGATCGAAAATTTTGCTGAAATACCAGGCGAACAGAAATGCACAGCAGGTAGACAAGCGATTTTCAGATGAAAATGTTAAGCTGCTGTTAACTTACATGCCTGCTACATAGACTGTTAAGTCGGCTGTTGAGGAGCAAATGCAAAATTAAGCTAAAATACCAGGCGAACAGAAATGCACAGAAGGTCACCACCAATTTTTCGAATGCAAAATTTTTGTTGCATACGCGCAAGGGTCGACCAAATTTTCCTTCGAAAAATTGCTGGCGACCTTCTGTGCATTTCTGTTCGCCTGGTATTTTAGCCTCATTGTGCATTTGCTTCATAACATAAAAGCCGACTTAACATTCGATGTAGCAGGCATGTAAGTTAACAGAAGCTTAACATTTTCATTTGAAAATCGATTGTCTACCTACTGTACATTTCTGTTCGCCTGGTATTTCAGCTGAATTTATGGTAAAATCTCGCGACCCAGCCTAGTGAAATTATGAGACCGTGTAATTTTGAATTTATAGATTTTCAGCGAAATATAACTTCAAATATCCCAGAAAGACAGGAGTTTGGGTTTTTAATTTATATATTTTTTTATTTATCCTTTTATATTTACATTTATTTGGCTTACGTAATGTACTTTTTCTATTTTTTTGCTCTTAAAAAATATATAAATATGAGTATAACTTATTATTTTGGCGTGTTTTATTTTATTTCCTACTTAATTTAAGTTTTAAAGCACTATATCTAGGGCAAATAAAGTCCGATATTAGGAAGAATGCCTCCATATAGTCGATTGGAGTTTGAAGTTCTTGAACCTGAAAAGATAAAAATATAAATAAATAATAAAACATGTTTTAAAAAAGAAGAATACATATTTAGATAATATTTAAAATGGCCAGAACTCATGTAAACGAAGTCCGTCATCATCTGAAATGAGAAACCATTTAAAGTACAATCGCTGAAAAATAAATGCTCAGAAACTGGAAAGCAACGCTTTTGCTATATATATTCATAAGTCGTAATGATGAGTTGGTATATAAAAGTATGAGCCGCTTTATCGTAATGCATTCGAACAGCTTAAATTTGAAGAAGATAAATGACATTCACTGGCTGCCAAAGCATTTAATTCGTTTGGCATTAGCCTCATCAGCCTAGCAACAGGATGAGCGGCAGCCAGCGATGCCAGGTGGCTTAAAACTATCTGTCCATTGTGCTCGAAATCCAGAGCCACGCTGCCAGCCGGAAAGTGTGCGTGCATGGTGCAAATTGTGGGTTCTCTCTGCTGGGTCAGGCTGTAAATGCAAATCATTATCAAGAACATTTGCATTGGAAATGCGAGCTGGATGGCAGCAGCAGCAGCAGAAGCAGCAGCAGGCGAGACACAATGGGGTCTGTCCACAGTTGCCGCAAAGTATCGGGCGGGGCCCAAATGGCCTATTGGCGCTATCTGCGGCGCTTTGGCGGATTACGAGCGAGGGTGCGTGTGTTTAACGCTAGACTATGTTTGGCATTGTTGTTATACTCCGGCTATTAGCGCTGATAAATTCACAGCCCAGTTATAAATACATATTTGAAACTGGCATTTGCATTTGCCAGCCGAAGCCGGAAATCCAATTTGTGGCCACGACTGCAATGCAAACAGGGTCAGCTGCGTGCCCGTCCAAATGATGCGACTA